AGCATATGTTAGTGTGTTCTAACACTATGTGTGTGTATGTGTGTGAGTGATCAAGGCTTGTACAAACTTATAAGTAAAGAAAATGTAAAATTATGTTTTGACAATAAAGTATATCTTCTTCTTTGCTTTATTTTGCCTTGAACTCATCTATGTCGTGAGTATCTCTTTGAATATAATTGTTGATATAGCTCTGATACCGCAAAATAAATGTTATCACATAATACACACAACATATAATGTTTGTTATCATCAAAATAAACTAATCTTGGGGTCAAGATTCCTAACAGAGGAATGAGCATGGTACAGGAGAAGGAGGGCATAAATAGGATAGAAGATGACTAAGAATGTGTAGGTAGGGTGGATGAGGGAAAGAAGGGAGAAAGATGAGAGTATTTTGGATATTACGGATGAAACTTGAATAGAAATCACCATGGGGTGGCTGATTGAAATCTCATTCTCCATATAACATTATTTCTATATAAAAAAAGTAAAATGAGGTTTTTATCAATTTGGCTTATTTTAAAGGTTGTTTTCATGAAATATCCTATTTGTTATCTAAAGAAATATGGAAGGATACAAATATTATATGGAGACATTATGTTTTTCCCTCTTCAGATAATATTCACTATGCTCCTATTTTGAGGGGAAAGTGAATAGTGACTATTTTTTGCTAGATTTTCCCCCTCCCCTTCCCTCACTCGACCCTCCTCTCCAAAGCACCTCTATCAAATGCAACTTGTTGTTTTGGCTAGAGTGTCTAAAAAGTTTGTGAACCTAGACCTAACCCATAACCGATTGAGTTCAAACTGAATCTAGACCCAAGCACCTAAGGCCAAACCCCTTCCGGGATGGGCCAAACTAGTGGTGTCTAACAAGTACATGAACCTAGACCCAACCCATACACTGTGCGGTTCAAACATGATCTAGACCTAGCACCTCAACCCAAACCCATCTCGGCCCAGGGCGGGGCCACTAACGGGTATAGAACCCCCAACTGGATCAGATTACCCAGATTCGGTCTAGTCCAACAGTTAAAACGGTCAAAACAAGCCGGGCAGAACCGAGGAGCCTGGCCCGGCACCTGAGACCCCAATGGCCAAAAATGATTAGTTTGGATGTTTTGACCAAAATACCCCCCAAAATGATTAAAAATGATAAAAGTTGAGGATTTTTTGATCACTTGTCTAGGGACTGTCTTTATAAATAGAGGGGGATTTTCTTTTGTTTTTCATCTATAACTCACTCGTCTCTCTTGTTACTCTAATATTCTATAATTGTCTCTTTTAAAATTTTATTGTCTAATTCTCTCAAATTTTCTAGTGGCTCCCTACTCCTCCATTACAACATCTTCAAAGGTGATGATGCTATGCCAACTATCGAATTGAGTCATCCTACTACTGATACAAAACTAGAAGAAGTTGATCTGGTGCCTCGAACTTCTAAAAGACTGAGATGGAAAACGTGAAGTTTCTTTAAGAAGATTGAAATCCAATATAATAACAAAGTTGTTATCGATCAAAAGGAGAAATCTCTCATATGTAGCAAAGAAATAAACACTACACATGTGTATGGAACTACCCACCTTAGACAACACATGCTATGCCACAAGAAAGGGAAATGACCGCCCCAACCTGACATCTGAATTTTTTCTCGCAATCATCTTCCATACATAGTCTTGGTACATTCCCCTATGATGCAGCTAGGGCCAGGAAATACATCATTAGGTTTGTGATACTTAAAAATTTACCTTCTAAAATGGTTAAAGAGGATGAATTTGAAGATATGACTAGAGATTCATTTTATCTCTCTTTTCAAAAAAATTCTCACCAAATTTGTCAACGTGATATTATGAAATATTATAAAGAGGAAAAAACAAAATTGATTTCTTATTTTCAAAGCTTAAATTGTCAACTTACTCTAACTTCTAATATTTAGACATCTAAAGAAAAAATTGGTTATTTATGCATCACAGTGCACTACATTTATAACACTTGGTAAATGTTAAGTCGTGTCTTTTATTTCATTTGAAGATTTATGTAGTGAGAAAAATCTTACAAATTTATTAATGGAAGAAGTTGGAAAATTAGATTTTTTTTTTAATTTAATCTTACACTAGATAACACAAGCAATAATAATATAGTTGTAGATCATAACTAATTTTTTATATTAGATGTATTTATCGTATTTTAAATTTAATTGTGAAAAGAGCATTTAAGGAAATTAAACTAATGATAGAAAATGTTAAGGATGCAGCTTATTTTATTATTGGCTCTACACTAAGGGCTAAGAGATGGAAACAATTTTATAAAAGAAAAGTAATGTTAAAGCTAGAAAAATTCCGGTAGATATTGACCATAGGTGGAATTCCACCTTTTCGATGCTAAATATAGCAGTAGAATAAAGAGAAATTATAGATGATTAATCAGTATATTTTTTGCTCATCATCTAGTTCTTCTTTCCACTCCCCTTATAGCTACAATTCACGCTTATGAATGGACAGTTATTAATTGAGTAAATGATATGCTTCAAGTTTTATTTTTATTTTTATGAAATTGGTTTAATTGCATGGTTGTTATTATGTAACAATTACTCTAGCTGCATTGTAAGTTTTATATATTTGAATTTTTTAAAATTTATTGCATGGATGTTTATTTTGTACACATGACTGTGAAATGGAAAGCAAATTGAATAAATATTTTAGACTCATTCCTATTATTTGTGGTTTTGGCATTCTTATTAATCCATCTTTGAAGAATGTCGGTCTTCAAAATCTCATGCATTCTTTATATGACAATAAGATAATAGATCATAATGATGGGACTATTAATGCTCTTAATCATTATAACACAATCAAACATTATTTGAAACAATTATTTGAAGAGAATAGTAGTAGATATGGTTCTAGATCTCAACATCCATCTTCTACGAGATCTAGCTCCAGTAAAGGTAAGGGATCCTATTCAACTTCAAGAAATTTGGTGATAAACAAGCTAACTGGTATGGATATTGTGTTATCAACAACGAAGTTTCTATGCTTGAACAATATGTATTTGCACCTTTGGTTAAATGTCCGAATAATGAACCAGACTTTGATATTTAATTATGGTGAAAGACACAAGGATCCACAACATATCATGTGTTTTTTATTATGATTCATGATTTACTAACAATACATGTTTGTACCGTAACTTTGGAATGCACATTCAGCAATTAAGGATAGTTGATTGATGACCACATAACAACACTAGATCTAGATATAGTTCAGGTGGTAATGTACTTATAAGATTGGTGTAGGTCTGAAAAGAGACATCAAGGCATCGAATAGACAATTGCTTTCGAAGCACTTAATGATATGGAGATAGCATATAAAGAATAGAAAATTATTTATAAAATTTTGTTTTTAATTGTACATTTGTAATTTTTTTGGGAAAACGTTGCAAGTGATATTAATATAGATAGGTAGATGCCAACCTAATTAGGATGTACCCATACTATTGTGACGCGATAATTTTTCAAAAAAAAATTGTAATTCTAAGTGATTAATAATAAGACATAATTTATTTTTTCTGATATCTAATTTAATGAAATTTGCAATTTGTATTTTTGCTAATTTTAAAAAAAAATTGAAAATTTTTAAATAAAAAAACTTGACCAAGCTACTTGATACTTGGCCCATGTTGTGCCTAGACCTAGATCCAGCCTGGTCTAACTTGGTCTTGGTCTGGGCAATGTTTTTTGCCTCGCCTGGGCCTCCTTATTCATACACCCATAAATTTGGACCACATGCTCTCTTTTCTTCTCTCCTCAAACCCCCTTACCAAACTATACCAAATTAGTTTGGCAAATCTTTAAATGTGGTCAAGTTTGCAACCTGGTCTAGTTAAAAAAGTGTTCTTTTGATTGGAAAAAACTACGTCAGAATGCCCAATTTGTTTTAGTTGAATTTTGGGTCTCTTAATTAATTTAGTTATGGACTAGTGATAAATTGGTCCACAACTAAATTGATTTTAGTATGAATCAGGTGTGGTTCAACCATATTAATGAACTCATTTATATCATATGAACTATATATTTCCAATTTTATCTAATTTTCTCATATTCGCTTTATATTTATACGTATATCGGTATATGTACTCGAATATAACAAGTATGGATATGATTTTTTTCACTGAGACATATTTATATTGATATCTGTATCAATACTCAATAGTTAGTAAGGGGTTGTTTGGTTCGTTTCCTAGAAACTTAAGTTTGGGAGATTGCTCATGGGAAATAGGTTGTGGGATCCATTTTCATATTTTCAAGCTCATTTCATGACTTTTTGGGAGAAAATGCGTTTTCTTAAATTTGGGACCCATGACACTATTATCTTACTAGTGGGTTGGTCCCACGTGCATAACATCTCTTTTTTCTCTCTCAACCAAACACAAGAAAAGAAAATCAAACGCCTTTACATAGATATGTCGGATGTTTTAATTTTCTTTTCTTAGTTACTCAGCTAACCAAACTAGATGTTGAGGAGGCGTTGGGTATTTCTGACATCTTGTCAGCTTTCCGCCCAAATCGCACCAAAATTTAGCGAATTGTGGGGGGAAAGCTGCAAATGTCAGTGACTGACGAATGGGGACAACACGAGAAAAACCCAGGACGCTCTGACACTTCCTTACAGCTTTCGACTCTTTTCCCCTCAAAATACTTGAACCAAACGGCCTCTAATAGATACTTATATAGTAACTATCACAATCAAACGGATTCAAACCCAATTTGACATGTTTGTACCCTTTTATAGCCTATTGTCTAACCATTGCTCCTGTAGGACTATGATTGGCAGAACTTGACGAACGTTCGACGTGTCAATAAATGACAAAACCAACAGGGGACAGCCGAAATGTGGGGCCCGCTACCCCACTTTCTAGGCTGTCCGATACATTGCTGCTATCCTGCGCCGGCGAGGATCATCACACAAAAATAATCGAGAGTCGGGCAAAAATAATCGAGAGTCGGGTCCATAGTCAGTCGGCCAGTCCTCCAAGTCACTGCCAGCTCTAAACTCGACAGCGAGGCGGGGTCTCTCACTCCTCCTCCCAATAACCCCCCCAAATTTTTTTTTTTTTTTAAAATGGAACCCTAGATCCTCGATCTCCCTCTAGGGTTTCCAATGGGCTGCCTCCTCTCGTCGCTATGGTCCTCAGTCTCAGACGACGACCCTCAGGCGACGGCCGTCGTCCTCAACGTCTACGACCTCACCCCGTTGAACAAGTACATGTACTGCTGTGGCGTCGGCATCTTTCACTCTGGAATCGAAGGTGAGCTTGATCTTGATCGGTTTGTTATTAATTTTTAGCAAGTTTCGCTTGTTGCTGCTGGTGAAAGGTGGGATCTTGGAGCCTTCTGCATTGAATTCAGCTCTTTTGACTGTTGGAAGAGCCAGATTAGGGTTGGGATTCGAGAAAGATTAGTATTGTTTGCGCTAACTCCTGTCAAAATTATATTGGTTTGCTCCTTGCCCTTCTTTGTTTCCTTGAAAATGAACCGTCGGAGCTTCATACATATTAGTATAGTAATCTCATATACGAAAGAATTTGAAAAAGTAATGGACTTGAATAGCATACAGCGGTAGAGATTATGTGGATATTGGTAGTCATGATCCCTACAATTGAAAGGGTTCTAAAGAATAATGGATTTAGATAGAACATTGGGATTGTTACATGGCAAATTTAAGTTTTTATGTCAATTTGTTTCCAACCTATATGTAATGCCCATCTAACTCTTTCTTGAGAATACGAGTACAATTTAGTATTTATAATGTAGAGATTAAAGCTAATTGACGATTGAAGGTTAGTAAAACGCTTATTATGGGAAATTGCTGGTAAATGATTTCTTTCTTCTTCTTCAAATGACCTTGTTTGATGCTTTAGCTTCAGACCTTCTGTTCACTTGTCTATTGTTCATTTCCTATGAGGATAACTATGGTTATTGATTTTTGGCTCCATTTGTGCATGTGGATGTGTAGGTTAGGGGTTTCCTTTTGCATTTCATTGCATGTCCCATAGCTTGCTGAAGGTGCATGCGTATCTATTAATTCATAGATATTTAGATATGGCTTTTAAAGAATACTTTTAAGGACCACATAATACCGTATGAGCTTATAAGAGATTGGTGATGTTCTTTCAACGGAGATGAAAATGAATCATTATGTTTGTCCATCTTTACTATTATGAAGCATATGAAGGCACTTGGGGCAAGTATTTGCTAATGAAATTAGCATATAATCAGCACATAACATGATAGATCTAGAGATCCTTATGTGTAACCGTTTGGTTGTTAATGGAAAATGAAACATGTCAAATCAGCATTATACCTTAACACCTCATTTGGTATGTGGTAATGGGTGAGAATCAAATGCCCATTCACACTTCTCATTCATGCATACCAAACACAAAGTGTTTTAAGAAGCTAGAATGCTCATTCCACTTCTCACTCACTCCCACATTTTGTGGGATCGAGCATTCCCATTGAGATGGTTGGGAAAGAGCATTCCAACTTAAGTGGGAATCAAAAAATTAAAATAACTTCCAAAATGCTTGATTGCTTATTGATTATCCAATACAATAAATAAAAAGATTATAATTCCCACTTCATTCCTCTGTAGACCACTTTTGTGAACAAAAGTGTTCTTCCTCTGGAGGCACTTTTGTAAAATATCTTTTAGTTGCACCTTTCTCATAGGCTCTTGCATATTAGTTGTCCTCCCACGAATATGAAATGCTCGCATTTCTGGATTTCAAATTTATGCTATCCAAAACATATACAATTTCCGTGCATGTTCTTTATGATTGAAGTGGGGTTTGATCTTCATATTCTTTTTTATGGTGCTATTTAAGCTTTATTTGTTGCTGAATTTTTTTCACTTGAATTCAAATTGCAGTTCATGGCTTGGAGTATGGATTTGGAGCTCATGAGTACCCAACAAGCGGAGTATTTGAGGTGGAACCAAGGACCTGTCCAGGTTTTATCTACAGACGTTCCATCACGTTGGGTCGTATAAATATGCCTCCCCATCAAGTTCGAATATTGATTGAAGAAATGGCGTCAGAGTATCATGGAGATACCTATCATCTCATCTCCAAAAACTGCAACCACTTTACTGACGATGCTTCTTTAAGATTGACAGGAAGGTCTATTCCGGCGTGGGTGAACCGCCTTGCTTGGCTAGGTAACTATTGTTTTTGTAATGGTGGAAACAATATTTTGCATCAGAGGAATTTACGTGTTGTATACAGTATATATTTCTATTCTATGCCAGACACAGGAATTTGGCCTCCGATTATATCTTTTGTAGCTTTTGCAGTTCCAAGTTCTCTAAAAGGCATACCTAAAAGTTGAGGGTAATTGGCAGATAAACCCTCCGTGTTCTACTTTATTAGCGCACACATTCCCTGGTTTTTTGAAACCTTGTTTCTTCGGCAGTCCTTAAGCTTCTGCAGGAATCATGAAATGTGTGATGGCCAGAGTTAGACATTTGTTAAGAGTAGTCTCACTAGATTCCCATGGGAGTTTAAACACTAACGGGGAAAAAACGTCTTAAGAGGTCATGAGGGTCGGGGGTGTGCTTAACAAAATAGAATATGAGCAATACGAAGCGAAACACATAGAATACAGGGCATGCATATGCAAATAACTCAAGGGTTATTAGCACATCCTTGCTGAAGCACACAAGAGGCATTATTTGTGAATGCCATTAAAGCAACCTTGTTTTGCCCAATGAGAATGCTATTTACTTGAAGAGATTTAGGCTCCTTTTGTTTTAGGTTCAAAGCAAGAGGGTGAGCATGGGTTTTTCTTTTCCATGTCGAGAAATTTGGGTTTATACAGAAGTTTGGGTGCTGTTCTGACAAAACAGTTATTATATTTTCTGATTTAAGGAAGAGCTCTAAAGGTTGGATGTGTAAATCTAAAGTCGTATGGGCTGTGAATGTGTTACACTGATAACCTCCAGATCTGAGTTCTGTGGGCTTGGTTTCTTGTCTATATTGTCGGGCAGCGTGGAACAGTGATTAACATCTGCTGAAGTATTTAAATAGCATCAGTAGAAAATTAAGAAAAGAGAAGATAGGATTTTGGAACAGATGATTGAGAGGGAGAGGGGGAAGCAATCAGAAGGAAATGGAGATAATGCCATAAATTAATTCCACTTCATTAACTCAGAATAATACAAGTCATGCTTCCATAGATTAATGATTATAGTGATGCTAGTTAAACTTGCAATACCATAATCCTTGTTCAAGATATTGATAATCCTGCTGCATTTCATGAAGTCAATAAAATCCAGTTCTACAATATGTGAGAGTGCTCTTGCTAATCACTCAAATCTAGTTATATCTGTGGAGGGAGATGCTAAAGCAAACATGTGAGTTGAATGTGCTATGTTGTCCTCTGTGTGTGTGCGCGCGCGCTTATGCTTGGGTAATTAAGATAGATCAGATAAATCTTACTACCTATCTCAAACATTACCCTATAGGGAAAATAGCGATGCACATCAAAAAGATGAATTTTCTATCAGCTCTTATTACGGTCTAGGTCTCTTGTACTTAATACAGATCTGACCACTTGTCCCAAAAAATAATCCATATCATCAAAATGTGCTGATAACAGTGTAAAAGCAAACTAATGCAACATATTCCTTGGTTATGGTTGCTATATTCTTTTTCTTTTTGACTTGTTCAACCTACTATTGCTTTATATCATCGATTTGATGCTACCAGCAAATGGAACTTCACATCTTGAAATATTGAAGTGCATATGAATTTTCTATTAGTTCTTACTATGAGCTAGGTCTGTTGTACTTAATATAGATCTGACCACTTGTCCCAAAACATAATCCATATTATCAAAATGTGCTGATAACATAGTGTAAAATTGAACTAATGCAACATATTCCTTGGTTATGATTGATATATTCTTTTTCTTTTTGACTTGTTCAACTTCAACCTACTCCTGCTTGATATCATTGATTTGATGCCACCAGCAAATAAACCTTCAAATCTTGAAAATTTGAAGTGCTCCATGTCTGATTTTGGACTCTTAAAATTTTGAGCATGAAATATGTATGAAATACGACTTAGTGGAATGTGAATGATTTATAATTATTCTTTTTTCAGGCGCCACTTGTAATTGTCTTCTACCAGAGTGCCTTCAGGTACCAGCAGTTAAACAACAAGTGCCTGAGTATCATGGCATATCAGGTTAGTTGGGAAAACATTTCTTTCCTTCCAAAGTTTGCCTTCGTAGCTTTTAGGATTAATTGCATACACCTCCTGTAATATGATCTTGTAGGCACTTATAACCCCTCTACATTTTTTTATTAGCACTTGTACCCTCTGATCCTAAGTAGTTTTTTGCCCTCAATTTAGATGGAATAGAAGTCTTGTTTCAGTAAAGTGGAGGGAAAAGGATGATTTATCATCATACGATTTTCTTGTGACATATTAACCAAACATTAGAAATAATGTCATCTGAGTTCAGAGAGTATGAGTGCAAATAAAATACTTTAGAAGGTATAATTGACTACTACTCTTGAACCTCGAACAACATTAAAATTTTCCCCGTCAGTGTAGGTGACAATTTAGTCCTTTTCAGTTAAGCTGGCGCAAAATGTAAGTTATCAACATGCTACATCTAAACTAGATATCAAAATAATATGTTTGAAGTTTAGGGGGTATAAATGTTAAGAAAATAGTTTAGAGGGATAAGTGGCTGCACTCTCACAATACATGGGGTGATATCCTTATAAAAATATATTCCATAACAGCTAGGGATGTAATATTAACACACACTTCTGTTCTAAATCTCTACCTTGTCCCCTGCTCAGAAGACGGATCTGAATCATTGTCGGTCATTGTCTCGAATGAGCCCGCAGAAAGTGATGATGCTGACCAAGACAAGCATCTCCTCATACCAACTGCTACAACTCATAGATGAAATCTTGTTTAGCCTTGTGAAGCTTTGTGAAAAACAGACCGCTGCCTTTGTATCATTATTAATACTAATCGTAGAGCTTTCAATATTCTTTGTAGTTCTCCAGATTCATTCAGCTTGGAGATCCTTTGTACCCGTTGTTCCTTGTTTTTGTGAATTATTCTTCAAGAAATTGGTTCTCCTTGTATAAATTGAATGTGAATACAAAAGATTCGGAAAGCTTAAGATGTTGGAGTTGTGCATAGCTGGAGTGTCATCTTCTTTTGTTTCCCTTGGATTATGTAAAGGCAAACGATTCCTTCTTTTTTTCTTAATTTTAAATTCTTTTGAGCCTCATGTTTGTTCTTCAATCCTTGTTGACGATACTTCATTAAGTAAAACCTGTTAGCGGGTGAATGGATAGTTGTTTTGGTTTCTCAAGCAGGGCATCTAGTTTTGAGGTTTTGTTTTTTAATGCATCGATTGATGCCCTTTTTTTAAAAGATTTATCAACTGTTACATGCCAACGATTTCGGTCTTTAGATTCATTTGGATGTATGAATAAAATTAGATGTGATGTAGGGTATGCTGTTGATAACTTCTCTCATTTATAATTTTATATATAGCAATTTTATCTTTTTCTAGCTAGTCCATGAGCACTTTATCAACTGTCATTCTTTGGACTTCGAGAGGGAGTTGCATGCAATCAAAGCATTTTCAAATGCAAACCCTAAATAAGTGCTAATAAAACGAGCTGAGCGGTGATGAATGCTACAGAAGATATAGGTAACAAGAGCCGTCTATAACTTGCTCTGTGAAATATATTGTTTTAAGAAGTAAAAAGGGGGGCTAAAAAAAATAGAAACCCCTCCTTTGGGCACATGAATAACTTAAAAGTCACTCAAAATCTTGAAAAAAAAAAGGAGAAGAAAAAGAAAAAGAGAAAGAAAAGAGTTCATGAAAGAAGAGCAATGTTACTGCTACAACCAAATTGAACAGTACAGTCTAATTGGAGAGGATCTCAATCCGTTCTCAAGATGGTTGAAAAACTTTTCAGCCTCCATGTAACACAACACCACATACGGAAGCAAATATATTACATCTCACGTCAATATCCCGATGAATAAAGAAGATCCCTTCATCTCATTCGCTTTCATCCATCACAACATCTTCGGAGATGTTGAACGTTGCAATTTCTCTGGCGACGTCTATCAAGTCCTCCTCCATCGCCGCCTTATGCATTTTGAACGGGAGGAGGTCATCGCCATGATCGCAATCAACTAGTTTTCGCTTAGGCACTCGCCGCATGCGAAGCGTTTTGATGACCAGCTGGTTTGGCTTCAACTTCATCCAAAAAGGCTCGAGCATTGCTTTACCCTCCATTGCCTGTTTACCGAGCGTGAACGAGTTTAGGTTTTTATTTTATTTTATTTTTTAGGAACTAGTTCTTTGGGTTGGCTCTCTATTTATAAGAGTACAAATCCGAGTCCTGATCGGACTATAATTCGGTACCCAATGAGATTCTAGTTTGTGTCCCACAGGCTTTAAACTTCGCGCTTCTGGAATTAGAATTTGGCTCGGATTTGGTTCAACCGTGTGAAAAAAAAAAAAAACTCTCGATCAAACTAAACCGGCCAGCTTGTAACCCAAAGTAATAGCGTTAATTTTAGAAAACCCCCTCAACTATAGGGGTTATCTCAGAAAGCCTCCTCAATTATTTTTACTCTAGAAAACCCGTCTCAGTTTTTTAGGTGTCGTAAATATGCTCTTTCAACTTTCAAAATAAGACTTAACTCCTAAATTTTTTCACTTAACCCCTCAAACTGACAATATTAAATCTAACAGAACATGTGATAAGTGTGGGGTTTAAAATGATCATACTACCCCTAAGAGGTTAGGCCTCTTAGGAATTCACCCAATTGTTCCTTTTAATTTTTGGGTTTTTATACAAAATCACCACAAAATATAGTGGCTTTTGGGAAAACCATCACAAATTTGTTTTATTTTCATAGAACCACCACAAAAATATAGTGTTTTTTCGGAGAACCACCACAATTTTTTTTTCATAGAACCACCATGAAAATATGCACCCATAACAAAGCACCAACAAATTGTAATTTTGCATCTATATCTTGTTAAACTAAATAATATTTGAAATCTCTAAAATACCCTCATGGTAGGACCCACTAATCTATTATTATATTTTCTCAAACTAACAAAATACATGAGTACCATTGATGACCTAGATAGTTAGAAGGTTCCAATATGACTCCCACTATCTTGGGTTCGATTCCTAGCCGCCTCATTATTTAAAAAAAAAACAAAACACCTTATTTTCCTCTAAAACTTTGTTAACTCCTCAAAAAAAAATTTAATTTCCTCCAAATAGCCCCACTCATCCTCTCTAAAATTTTGTCATAATGGGCATTTATATCATTTTATACTACTATTTATTAAAATACTAATGTCCATTATGATTTGGTGGGACTTTGTAAAATATTTATATTTTCATGGTGGTTCTATGAAAAATAATTTTTTTGTGGTGATTTTTTAAAAAACCAGTATATTTTTTGGTGGTTCTATAAAAATAAAAATTTTATGGTGGTTCGCTGAGAAATCACTATATTTTTGTGATGGTTTTGTATTAAAAATCCTAAATTTTCCATTAAAATACGTCCCATTGTATTTTCCTCCTTTTCTTCTTCCTCTTGTATCATTACTAGGTCCATACCCAAACCCAATTTTTTTCTCTTTTGAAACTTCAAACTTCTTTTATTTCATACTTATTCATGCTTCTAATGTTTAGGGAAAAAATTGAAATTTCAAGTATATTTTCAAGATGGTATTTGCTCATTGAAGCCCCTTGAATTCAAGGTAATAATTGTGGTTTCTTCCATCAAAATAATAATAATAATATTTGCGTGTTCTCTTAACTTTGACTTTTTTTAACTCATACGTTTTTCTTTTTTCAAACAACATAGCTTTAGTCATTGTATTTTTCAAATTAATAATGTTAGAAGGTTATTTGAGAAAATTGTAAATGTGAGGAGAGTTTTGTGTGAGGCCTTATGGTTGAAAAGGGTTAAGTCTTATCTATATAACACACCCAATTTTGAGGGTGTTTCCTACGGTTAATATAATTGAGAGAGTTTTCTGAGAGAACCCCCGTAGCTGAGGGAGATTTTTTTAGAATTAACACAATCATATTTAGGCTAAAATTTAGGAAAAAAAACCCCTTAAATTTGAACAATTATTAGATAACTCTCCTTAATTTTCAAAACATCAGAAAGCCCCTCTTAAGTTTAGGGATTAATTATTAAAAACCTTCAACTTTCAATACTTTTCCAAAATTTTTCCTTAAAGCGTGAACCTAAATTTTCATCAGCAAAATTATCTTCC